ATTCATTTGAATTAGTGAGGCGAATAAAAACCACTAAAATAGAGGAGGAAGAAATACTAGTTAGCTTTGATGTAAACAGTCTTTATACGAAAATACCCATTCAAATGGCCATGATTGCACTGAAAGAGAAACTAAATGAAGATAATGGCCTGAAAGACAGAACACAGTTATCCGTAGAAGAAATAATAAAAGGGGTAGAATTCTGTCTGACAACAACATATTTCACATTCGAAGGAAAAATATACCAACAAAATGAGGGAGTAGCCATGGGATCGCCTATCTCACCAATTATAGCTGACATATTCATGGATTATTGGGAGGAGAATGCCCTTAAACCATTCAGATCATCACTAAAATGTTGGTGGAGATATGTAGACGACACACTAGTAATAGTGAAAAAAAACGATACTGAGAAACTTTTTTCACACATAAACAAACACGTCGACTCAATAAAATTTACTATGGAATTAGAGAATGAAATTGGAGAACTGCCCATGTTAGATTGCAAACTACAAAGAATGACAGATGGTAGCATAAAAACAACGATATATAGAAAAGCCACACATTCTGGAAGATTCCTTGATTATTACTCAGCTCATCCACTCTCGGTAAAACGAGGATTAATACAAGGTCTTGCAGATAGAATACGTAGACTTACAACAGCACCAGAGGACCAGCGTAAAGAAATAAAAGTCCTATTCAAAATGCTACTCGAAAACAACTACCCTAGAGAATTTATAAAAGATAATATAAAAAAGAAAAAAAAGAGGTAAAACCGGAGAATAACAAGAAGGAAGAATGGAAAAAAACAGTCGCAATACCATATAAAAATGGTACATCAGAGGCAATACAAAGAAACCTCAAAAATATCGGTATTCGAACAACCTTTAAACCGACAAATCTAATCAAAAATAAAATAAATCAACTAAAAGATCCCATAAAAATGATGGATAAAAACAATTTGATTTATAAAATATCTTGTGCTGACTGTCCAACTAAATATGTGGGGCAAACGTCCAGATCACTCAAAATAAGAGTGAATGAACATAAACGCCTAACTAAAGGTCAACCAACAGGGACACAAGCTTACAAAAATCTTGAAAAAAATTCATCCATAGCTGCACATGCATGGGACAAAAACCACAATATCGATTGGGACAATGTGTGTATTCTAAAAACAAACATGAACAAATGGAAAGAAAGACTCATAACAGAATCGATATTCATTAAAGTCACACCGGATACATGTAACAAGGGTGACTCAGTACAACTATCAACAACTTGGAATATAATTCTAAATACAAACACATGAATGAATGTGGAGTATAATTCTGAACACACATATGCACACACAAAACATGAATGAGCAAAAAAAAAATAATAATAATGTTCATTATAATAGAGGTTTTTTTTTGTATTTCCCAACGAATGAAAAAACAAAACGAGATTGTAAACGAGAGTAAAAACAATCTCGTTTTGTTTTTTCATTCATTGGGAAATACAAAAAAAACCTCTATTATAATGAATATCATATACCCAATGCCCAAATTTTTTCAAACCGTTAAAAGTGAACTTGGTTTGGATATATATAATAATAATAATGAACTATATATATGAGTAAAAATCATAAATGTGTGAATAAAACAATTCCAACAGTGGTGTGAACACGGGCGGTAATTTTGCTCGAAATATTACCAATAACAAAACTAATCTAGATATGACAGAGAAGATTTGTAGCTTAGGTGGATAATTTTGATGTGGTTTTGTTCTCTGAGCTGGATGGTTAGTTTGCGAAGCTTTCATCGCCCTACTGGGTGACATCTTCAGCGCATACTTTAATTCGTTGAAGTGAGCTTTTAGGTTTCTCCACGAGTTTATTAATCATTCCTCCTGGTGACCTTGGACGTGATTGGTTGTTTATGTGTGTTTTCACATAACAAAACACATCACATCACAAAACTAATCATTGTGTGTAAACTATTAAAATATAATTATACTTTATTTGTTCTGAAAATCCTTTCTTCATCTAATTATTCTGTTCACTGTAATTTCAGTACATTTCTTTCCTCTGCTTTAATTGTTGGAATCGTGACTCCACACAGTTTTATATAAAGTTACACACTGATAAGCCACCCAGTCAGTCAGCGGATTTTCTTAGGATTGCTGACAATAACTTACAAGACATATGAATTAAAATCTAAGGTTTTGTGGTGCTTAAATGCAAACAGTGATTAGAGGCAAAGAGTTTCTATACACAAACACGCCTTCGCTACGTATCACTCTGTTTATTGACCAATACTCCATACATACCTAGTGTTGCATGAATTTTACTTAGTACTCAGAAAATAGCAGCTACGACGATTATTTGAATACCTTGTAGTAAAATGCTGAGAATTCCATTCTGTATCGCTAGTACTGTTTTGGAATAAAGCTATTATCATTATCATTACATTTCCTCAGTAAAAGACGACATTTATAATATATGCTGGCACCAAAAGTTATACACTTTTCAGACAATCATACACTTCGATTCAGACACTAAGAAGTAACTGATCTCATAAGTCTGTTTCTTTGCTTGTTGCAGACTGAATTTTATCAGTCAAGTTAACAATATGGACACCATTCTAGATGTCCCGCCATCACAATGCACACTGAAGTAATCGGCTGAAACCCTTGAACCATCTGGGTTTCATGTTTCTTAGCACTCACTAGTCGGAAAAGTGTGCATACAATCTTGAAGGAGTTTATATTCCTTCTAAGATTCGAACTGCGGTTACACGCTGAATAGTACAATCAGAAACGTTACCACTGAGATATTCGGGCTCGCGATTGACCTCCTATAGAAGTGTGATGGATAAGTAGATTGCAAACACTAAGTAGTAAATCATAGGCGCAGAAAAACGCTAATAAGCACGAAACCTAGGTCCAAGGCTTCCTGCTGACTGCCTCCAACTAGCCAACAACAGTTTTGGACTTCACTCATCTTAAAGAGAGAATAAACTCAGGGCGTTTATTTCAGCAACAAACAAAAAAATACAACAACTAAAACTGAATTAAGCATAGTGATAGGGTGAAAACAAAACCAATATTCTAACTGTAGAGAGTTTACAAACAATGAATCATCAATGTTATTTTGAAAAATTATTTATTTCCTTTCCTTTCTTGTTTCGTCTTTTTGTTGATTACAGTCCATTTTTTTTGTCTTCTGTTTTAAAGGAAGGCAAATTAAGGTGGTTTAGCAGAAAAACAATCTGCCCTAACGATTATTGAGAGTTTCCTTAGGAAGTGATCAATAACAAATAGCGCGTAATGTGAAGATGATGATTCATCACACAGAATAATACCATCTGTTCAGACACATATTGTCTCTTATGATTACATATGCATGTACATCAGTTAACAGTAATGTCCAATATGTATATTGGTTAATTTTTTTTAAAAAAAAGCACTGCCTTGTTTTAAATGATGGAATAATTATTTATGCGCTATATTGCAAAACAGATAAAATAGTTGGTATTGAACTGATTAATTTGAATTTTTAATGAACAAACAACCTAATTAATATGAAATTGTACGCAATAAATTCAGCAATACTTCAAACACAGTGTAAAAATGACTGGATTAGGCAAGAATTTCGCGGTGGCAGTTAATACGGTTGATAAAATCACCCAAATACCGTGAAATTAATTGGCAAATAATAAGCTTCAATGTTTTACTTATTATATTTTCACCTTCCCCCACTTTTGAAGTCTCACAAAAAGCGTTTCAAACAGACTGCAGATTCTCATCTATGGTTGTCTTAGCTCTATACTAACGATCATAAGGCCAAGAGGGATTAACAACAAGGAAACCTGGCAAGGAGCGACCCGACCAAGAACCTATCGCTCCAGAAATATACCGAAGAAAATAGAGACGGATTAGATACACGCTGAGGAGACCATCGAGTGACATCATGCTCTAGGTTGGCCCTTAAGTGGACTCGAGTAGGAGACCGAGAGTTGGGCATGAGTCCGAGGATGAGATGGATCAGATCGTGTCTGGAAAAGATGAGAGATTATGGGTAACCATGGAGCCAGCTAAAGAAAACTTTGAAGAATAGAATGAAATGAAGATGTCCCACTCGGAACGCTAGGGAACAACGAAAATAATGAACACCGTTTAGAGATAGTTTTTATTACTATTTGGGAAATGGTTGAGATCAGAGAGTAATAATTCGAAAGGTGAATAAGAAGTGCAGCAAAACAGTTTATCACTCCACCAACTATCACTAGCCATACTACAAAAATTTGAGGGAAAATAAATAAAACTTAGCATTCTAAAGATATTAACTTTGAGCCTAAACATTCGAAACTCCGGTGGTTCAATAGTAGAGTGCTCGATAGACGCATAAGCGTTTTCAGATTCGATTTCTTTTCGATGAAGCATTCATCAACCTCACCTAGCCGGCAGTAAACTCGGAGAAGAGGGAAGGTTAGAAGTGAGGCTACCCAACTGCACTGAGTAAGAGGAACAATACCATCGCCAATGAAACTCCAAAGTTTGAAGGCCTATGTTAGACTGAATACGGAAAGAATGAAGTAAAAGATGTAAATTTTCATCTGTAGTTCCAATGATTTCAAATTGGACGGTAAAAAAAACATGCTCACACTGTTAAACCATTATTGGTTAACATTAGAGAGGAGTGACTCATATTTTTTGAATACTATCAAGTCACACAAGTCTACTCTTGGTTCATTTAGTCATTTTATATGTATGCAAACTTAGTGACAACTCGATATATGTAACATATGCCTTCAACCTATTCACTAATATGGTCTTAAAACACAATGGACATGATTACACCTCATATTTCTGATAGGTACAATGAATTCACATTCACCACATAAGCTTGTACACTCGGAAAAATAATTAAAACTTGAATATCGATTAAATATTGTGCAATAGTAATCAATTAAAATAACAAAGCCTTAATCATGAGAAATAAAAATTTAATAACTAACCGAAACAACAGCTTCCCCACAATAACCACATTTTGGAGAGAACATTTGAACATGACACTGTGTGCAATAGGCTTGATCATCCCGTTCATAAAAATCTTGACGAACAAGGCCAACACGACAGCTGGCACATGTAAAGTGCTCTGGATGCCATTCTTTACCAATAGCTGTGATGAGCTGTAGAAATTACAAAAAGAAATGTGTACATCTTTAAGAAAGTATATATATATATATATATATATATATATATATATATCAAAGCTCACTGGTACTCACAGTTAAAATGCCTATTTTATATTTTATTAATGAAAAGTAGAATAAATCTATGGATGCGTAACAGTATATACTACTGACGACCGAGATAAGTAGTTATATGCTACTTACATCTACCAGTGGTGTTTGTAGTCTATTTAACGGATGACAGTTTCGCTCAATTGTTGTCGAGCTAATCAGCGGTGTAACCTGTTAGACTCAACTCAGACAGCCGAATCCGTTCAAATCAGCCGATCCCTGGTTAGTTACGTGAGCAAGCAAGCTGCTGATGTCATAAGTCCAATTCACCACTTGCACAATTCGAGGTGAGATTTCATCACACTTTCCTTTTGAAACCGAAATTATTCAGGTCAAAATATGTGATCAGCTTTTTACCATCAATGGTAACCAACAAACCAAACATTGAACTATATACTACTGACTGACATGAGTAGTTGTGTACCACCCATATCAACCGATAGTGATCGCTAGCCAGATCAAGGTGATCTAAACACCCGACTGCAGTTTCACTCGTTTAGGACTGAGCTCATCAGTGATGCAGGTGGTGTGATTCATCTCTGGCTAGCAGGCACTACTGATTGGTATGAGTAATTTTCAAATTCTCATCTCAGTCAATCAGTAGTAATATAGTGTGATTTATTTCTATTTGCTTTCTTCACTTGCCATTTATTGTACCAGGTACATTACATAGTGTGGTCTGAGTAATTTTGACTTCCAAAAATAACCATGGCGAAATCTCATTTTGAACTGTATAAATTAAGAATTTGTTTAAATCTATTCACTAGAAAACAATCTGATTACAACGTATCACAGGGGTGGAGAAATTTCGAAGTGGTTATAACAGTAGGGCACACCATAAGACCTGATCAGGTTTCAGTAAGTTAATTTACTAAGTTGGGTATGCACAATGTTAAGGAGCTGTAAAACAGAATATATATATATATATATATATATATATATAATTATATATATATATATATATCAACCGTTTATCATCTTTCTATTTTATATCCATTCGGGACGACACCTACCCTCAGAATGAATGTTTATGGTTGAGAGACATCCCTTATAAATACCGGTAACACCGTTATATAAGGGTGGGGTTTGGACACGAGGCCAGCACCCCCACCCTGGTAAAATAAAACCACTGCTACAGTTGGTTAAGTACATTGTAAAATTAATTCTTGAGAAAAATGTCATGTAAGGTAAGGGGACACATTCACTCGAATGACCAAAACAAAGCAAATGTTAGCTTACTGTTCCATTTATAGGCTTTTTACAGGCATAACATTCTCCTCGTGGATTTGTTTTTGCACCATGTTGAGATAATTCAGATGATAAATCATTGAGCATTGAATTTAATAAGTGAGTTGGACATTGTTCACTAGGTTGAACACTTTTATCTTTTTCATATTTTGGCACTGTAACACGTTGAGCATGTTGTCTTTGTAAACGTGTTGTACTGCTTACATTGTCAGTATACTGATAAGTATTGTAATCATGATTTTGATACAGTTGGTAATTTTCAGTATTGAGACTACCGTCCATATGATCCATATTATTATTATTATTATTAATGTTGTTAGCATTATCAATTCGATGACTTGATGTTGTAGATGACTTATTCGAAGGTGTTTGTGAATTTCTTTGATGAACATCAGATGATGAATTGTTATCAATGAATGAATTGCTCATACTACTCGGTAGTTCAGCGCCTGAATCACTTTGATGATGACTAACCTAAGTTTACAACATCGAAAAAAAAATTATATATATATGTGAAAATTTAGCAATGCACCAATATGAAAAAGTACCAGAAAATTTAAAGAAGTGAATCCTCATTTCCAGAATCTCAAAAAACTGAATAAAAAAAATAGCAGATGAGCTAAAACTGTATCTTTTTCAATAGCTAGATTTATCCGTCAATGTAGCAACAACTACCTGTGAGAGTATTCCAATATATTTGTCTCCAGTTATAACTCCATTGGTGCGTCGGTGGTATAGCGGTTAGTACGCTCGCCGACCATGCATATGGTCCGGGGTTCGATCCCCGGCCGGCGCACTCCTTTACCTCACTGAGCCAGAAATAATGCTGGTAAAGAGGAAGGTTGGGCATGAGGCTAGAAACCCCATCCTGTAAAAATTAAACACTGCTACAGAAACTTCAAGCCACTAGCTTGGAGCCCTATGTTCCACTGGGAACGTGAAGGGAAAATTATTATTATAACTCCATTGTGTGGATTAATAATACGTCATTCATACATCGTCGGATTATGTAATGGTTGGCTGGTGGTCGTGCTAAAATCCCGAATTGATAGAAGTTAGAGTTCATTGGACTCTGAATTCCATCCCAGTGACTTAATGGTCAACCAATTTGCCTTGTAACCTAAAGAGGTCCAGGGTTCTATTCCCGATGGAGAGTCATGAGTGCATACTGATGGAAAGTCTCAAAAGAGGACGAAACAGTTGTTCCAGTACTCCCTGTTTTTCAGTCATTCCCTAACTGATACGAATTCGTAATTGAAACCAGATACCAATCAAATCCATGCAAAATAAAACTTCAGGATCTGATTTATCACAACAGTGAAGATACAAAAACAGCCAAATGATTTGAACTAAAAGATAATTGATAGAGTCAAAGAAAAGTAATACAAATAAACGGTCAATTCAATCCAGATGTAGCGGCCAGGTCAGGATATTTCAGATAAAACAGCGGTAAAGCTTCGGTAGCAGGGGTGTTTATTTTTACAGGATACGGTTGCTAACCTGATGCCTAAATCTTCCATCTTTACCAGTCTTATTACTGACTTAGAGAGGTAAAGGAGTGCATCGGCCAAGGGTCGAACCCTGGGCCACATGCGTGGTTGGCGAGCATTCTACCACTGTGCCAATGACGCGCAAAAGCGTTGTCCCAAATTAATTTGCCTTACTGGATATATAACACAGTGAAATGGAATTATTTACTGAATGAGGTTTCGAGCACAATTTATTGTTCATAATCATACCTTATAAACAAAGTGACAGAGAATTACATAACCTAACAGTGCTCGGGTTGTACAGATGTAATACCTCTTTCAGTTTCTCGTTGAACTGTCAACAGTCATTCATATGACTGCCGTTTAAGTCCATTTGTAGAGTTATGAAGTAGAACTCAGACTTGGGGATAATACGATTTGGTTTTGATAAAATTTTTTCTAGATTAAATCTACTCTGAAAGTTGTAAACTGACCTGTACACTGATTAAACTACAAATAGTAAGTCTTTTAACACTTAATAATTTATCTACTTATGTCATTTTGGGAATTATGTTGCTCATACTTTCCGATTGGTTGGAGGATTTCATCATGAGCTGAAATCAGTTAGAGAGCCATTAGAAGACCTGAGTGCTGGACAGCTGTTTCTTCTTAGTTCTGTACTTTTCATCAGTACACACCCACCGGGGTTCGGACCTAGGACCTTCTGGACCTCGTAAACAATTAAGCCACTGTCCAGTACTTCCAGGTTTTCCAATGTCTCTCTAACTGATTTCAGCTCATGATGAAATCCTCCAACCAATCATATTAAATCCCTACAAAAACCAATGTTTATACTTTCTATTTATAACTCGACTTCGCTGTGAGAAAAGTATCTTAAGTAATTTTGTAACTTATAATTTGACTTTGTCTAGGATGTACGCAGTTGAAGTAAAGTGACAAAATGAAACGACCTAGTATCATCCTGCCAATATGTTCGTTTTTTCTTTGTTCAAACTAATAAAAGGGACCCTGTTGAATGAAATTCATGTAATAATCAATATTGTAAATAGATTGTTGATAGAGAACTTTTCAGATTAAGCATCTTGCTAAATGACACCAAACGATATTTTCTGTTAGCCTACATTCGAATTCAATTAAATTCTTAAATATTATAAAATATAGAATAAATCAATTCACGAACTATTTGACTGTATTAACTGTTTCTTTTACAAAAACAGATAAACAAAACATAATTCAAACAATCAACAGTAAACAGGTGTTTAAAACACATGTAGACATACAAGTGAAATGGGTAAAAATTAAATACAAAATAAAAAAAGCATTTAACTAGACCGGTAAAAAGCAAACCAACACTCAATTTATTTCAATGTAGGCTTCGTTACCAACCAACTCATCAGTTAGAAGAGATCACTAGAAAAACTAAAGGGCACTGAACAGCCGTCTCGTTCTACTTTTGAGAATCCTTAGCAAATCACACTTCACGACCCACCAGGGATCGAATACAGATCTTCAGGTTACGAGGTTAAGCTCATTGAGCATTCAACCACGTGAGCTGGAATTTAATGAACCGTAGATTCTAAAATCTCTCAATTCGTGATATAACGACACTCTTTTCAACGAATGCCTTCGACCAGCATTCACTTCATCCACTTGATATGGTGGACCAAAATAATCACGACTTCTCAGTACGGCTCCTGGACATCCATCGAATACCACCAATGAGCTGGAGATTAATGTACAAATCATAGGCTTTTGTAGATTTCGTCAGGGAATAATTGTAAAAAAGCCCTTAGTCTAATTAATTATCGCAAAAACACACAATTCACTTTTGAATTAGCTCTTTTAAATCACTGATTACAGTCAAAAACAGTTCGAAAATGTTTTGTTCTATTTTTTACATGAATTAGATTTTAGTTTAACAATTAAAGTAGTTTGATACACATCTACACACACACACACACACTCACGACTACATAAGCACAGAAACAATAGTGCTTCAATATATTGTGCACAAAATAAATTCACCTCACTTGACTCTAATAGATATTCAATTGCCAATAAATTTGTTTAAGTAACCTGATATAGTGTATTTTTAGTAAATAGACAAAAAAACAAATTAAGTGGCAAAAAATTAAGTTTGGTGTTTTTTTTTGGTGGTATTTGGACGAATTCATTTGAGGTATGCAGAGCAAATGTACCTTGTGAGATAGATTAAAGCATGCAGATATATTAGAAAAGACATCGGGTACAAAAATTAATGTTACAATACCTTTGATATAAAGTCGAAAGGCATAATTTAAGTAAAACTTCGAGAAATATAATAATGACGAAATAAATTTTAGCTGAATATTTAACTGGTGAACAAACTAAACCTATCTGATAGGAGAGGACAAACTGTTAATGATTGCAATATAATATAAAAAATGCATGTGCGTCTATTGTTCAATTGTGGAGTGCTCACCAATCATATATACACACACATAGCCCGGGTTCGATTCCTGGCTGATGCACTCATAAACCTTGCCTAGTTTACCAGCTGATTGTAACTAAGGTAACGAAGAGAAGGTCAGGCTTAAGGCCAGCCAACCCGCCCCGTAAAAACAAGATCACCTCGAGTGGAAATTTAAAAAGCTTGGAGCTCTGTATTCTATTCTGAAATCAACGGTTGATAAACTCAGGGTTTTTTTGCAGGGTTGATTTCTATTTTCAATTATTGGTTTTGGAGGGATTTTGTTTGAGCGGTTGGAGGATTTCATCATGAATTGGCATCAGTTACAGAACCATTGGAAAGGTTCTGAAGAGTCCAAAACTAGGAAGAAACAGCTGTTCAGTACTCCCAGGTTTTTCAATGGCTCTCTTAATGATTTCAGCTCACGATGAAATCCTCCAATAAATTCTATTTTAACAAATTTCACATCACGTAATGTAACGTTTTCATTTGCCAACTAATTCTATAATTTTACATCCCCTTTCAACATTTATACATCCTATAAACTATTCTATATGTGACAATATTTATTTCGCCAGTTGACATTTAACTTGTAATCACAAACATTTTAACTGCATTCCATACTATTACCACTTTTCTACTTTAGAAGGGAATACTGTACTAAGATCCACGGCTTGGTATGACTTATCCATTAATGGACGTCAAATGTCTACTGAGTATGCCACTGTGGTCACTAACAAACGAACAATATCCATCAATTCTAAACTATTTAATAGCTCAAATATATTGAATCTCATTGAAATTTCCGAATAATCCTGAGAAATACGTATTCAACTATTCTTCTTTTTCCCTATCTAAATTTCAAATAGAAGCCTTGTACATAACATCGAAGTTTTGTGATGTTAATCCCAATGTTAACAAGCTTCATGCACATGTTCAGTTTGAAAATCTACTCAGCCGAACCAGTGTGATCTTATACCATGATCTGAAGAAGATTTCCAATGTTTTTGAATTTATCATCACCAATTCTTGCAATCAACACCTTAACACTAAACGGAAAATGCGTAGACTTCCGACAAAACAGCACAACGAAGAGTTAAGGCAATTGAAACACAATAAAGATATACTATTAGCACTCCCTGACCAGGGTGAAGGTGTTTTATCATGACTCATGAAAATGGTAGAGTCTCTTCGCTGAATTGCTTTTTTTAACTTTCTAAAAATACATATCACTGGTTGATATCAGCAATTGAAAACTCCTCACATCAACCAGCAGTACTACCAACGAGACTAAAGGTGGAATCTAAATATTTTATGTTTCTAAACATTAATCGCCTTGAACTTTGCATATTGCAGAAGGTAATTATACTTCATATAACAAAAATACTATGGGGATTTATTGCACTCATATTTAAAAGTAATTTCAAACTTTACTCTTCGCGTCTAGAATTATGTTAACTTCAAAAACGCTGAGATATCAGAATATACAGATTATTTTTAAATGTTTGTTACACGATAAACACTTAATATTTGTG